TTTCGTAACTCTTGTACCCTGCCACCATTCACCTCCACCAGGAATCGTGTTGAAGCCTGACAAGCACATAAAGCTCCCTCAAGAACCTTTTCCAAAACCCATTCATAAGCACTCTTAAATGGCTCTTCTAGAGGCTCATAACCTTTATGATTTTGCCTTTGATATGAAAGATCTGAGTATCCCCATTAGATCCCCTCCATCTTACTAGATATATGAAGTATAAATTCAGTTGTACATTAGCTGTAATGTGTGCTCTATCTCTCGAACCACATTAACAGTAAATGCTATTTGCACACTCCACAGTGGAGCAGCACACTCTAGCTGGTTGAAGCCCCAAATGATGTGGTGCAAATTAACACTTATTTTACACATACCCAATTACCACACAAAATTCAAGTTTACTATAAAATAATTTATTAAGACACCATACACAGCTTAAGCAGCAAGCATATATACATGCACATGAACACTACTGACTACCCTACTCAGGGACTCTAGCTCTTTTGACTTTGGCCTTCCTCACCTCTTCAATCAGATCTTTCAAGTACTGGATTTCCTTACTCAAGGAATCTGCTTTCTCTTTCAGGGCCTGATTTTTCTGTTCCAAATCTCTGCACTCCCCTGACAGTGCCTCCTGTTCTGCCCTCTTTTTTTGCCGGTAACGTGTGGCAGCTGTCTTATTTTGCTCCATCTTTTTCAGTTTCTTATCTATTTTCTTTTCTCCTTTCACCTTTGCTGACACTACCTTCTCAGCAGGGTGGTCATATGGTTTGGACCGCACAGAGCCACAGGGGGCATCTGCAGGGAACTGGTTGTCATTGGGGGATCCAAGTGAATTGGTAGGACTATGCTGGGGCGTTCCCAAATAAGAGTCTGGGCTCATGCATATTCCACTATCATCAGAATGGTTCTCCTCCTCTTTCTCTGACTTGGTGATCACTACCAGAAAGGTGGGGCCCTCCTGTTTCCTTTCACCTTCCAGAACATCCACTTCACTACCTAGTTCTAAACTAAATGAATGGTCTGGAACAGAAGTCAGAGACTCTGGGGAGAGGGGAAAAGACCAGAGGGAAGCTAAAGGGGCCATGGGATCTGCTCCAATTGGAGATTCAGGGAGACTGGTATTTAGATCAGGTATGAGTGGAGGTTCTTTGTTGTGAAATTCCTGGGTGGTAGGGTTAAATAGCAGATCACACGTGTCTTCCAACGTGGCCATCAGCTCGTCTGGTGAGACGGTGGCTTCCAGATGTTCCATTCCTAACAGGGCATCAAAATCAAATTCCTTCAGATCCATCTTCTCCACCATCCACTCCATGCCAGAGAAGGCATCCTCTAAACAAGGGAGAAAAGAAATGCATATTTTTTCAGTGAGCTAATAAAGTAAGCTTCTAGAAAGTACCTAAAAAAAAAACCCCTAACTTGTTACACCTTCCCCCATTCTTTTTAATGGTACAAAAGATTAACTACCAGAACTTCAGCCCACCATGAGAGGGGAGTACTGCATGATACAATGTAGCTGTCAGCTGTTATGACATTCCATCCCTCTTACTCTCAACTCTGTACGGACTCAGGGCTATTTGAAACACACGACCACACTTGTTTCTTGTGACCTCTCCCAGGGAAGGCTACTTTAACAGCTGGCATGTTATTAAAAGGGCAACACAAGTGTCATTTTCCCACAGGCCAGTCTAGTAACTAGCCATTTGCTATTGTGTAATCAGTGTTGTACGGATGCTTTCCAGGCCTGAGTACACACCTGATGTTACCTCTACATTTAGAGAACTTGCGCAGTATGTTTTTGAACGGGAGGGTTACATTATTTATTATGTGCCATCACCACAGATGTATTTTCTCCACATGAATTAGTGCCTTACCCTGGCTGCTATCTATGGTGTTGCCTAAACTGTCCACAGCGAGCCAATTGGAGGAGACTGCCTTAGCCTTGTCGCTGGAGAACCCATGCGAACTGAGGGGCACGGCCACCTCCAGGTAGTCATCGAGGAGTCCCAGACTTTCCTCAGCCACCGAACACGGCTGGCTGAAGGGGGAGGACTCCCCCAACAGCATCTCGTTGTTCAAGAGGCTCATCTTGGTCAGGTTTTAGTGCTTTGACGTCAAAGGATGTAGACAAGGAGAAGGTCTTTCTGTCGACTACAGCAGTGCTGCTGTGCGGTGCCTTGAAAAACCTGTAAGACAGACATTTTTTCCAAACACATCAGTGGTTGTTCTACTGGAATAACAGCCTTCACAGTAAGACACAGCATGCAGGGAGAGTGGTGGTACACCAGACATTTTCCAGGCTGCTTGCCTTTAACTTTTTTTTTTATTATTTATTTCTTTTTTAAAGGCTCTTCTATTCCCATCCCCAGCACAGCAGAACCAGCTCCGCGCTGCCCACGCCCCGCCCACCGCGCCCTGACTCACGCCCACGCCGCAGCCATTTCGCGATCCGCCGCCTCCCGCTCCCCACCCGGCCCCGCCGCCATTTTGTGCCGTGCCACGTTTCCACCTCGTGTCGCTGGGACCGCCATCAACGCCGGGGGAGAAGGGGGAGGGTGACAGGACGGAAGGACAGGGCACCTTTCTATACTGACTTATGGAGCAGGGGGATTCGGTTGAGAAACGCCGTGAGAGGCTCACATCCTTCTATCAGGCTGGTTCCACACCATCTCCTCCAGCGCTGCGGCATTAGGGATCCACTCATACCTCAATGCCCGCTCGCTGGAAGCCCCGCCATCTGCTATTCCCAATGCCCCTCTATGAAGGCATTCCCCTGCACGACTAGGACACAAGCATAGGGAGCTAATACTCACAAAAACCTTAAAAACTGGAAAAGCTCCAAGCTTTCAGGATGTGGGTTTTTCTAAAATATAGGGTATTACGGCTCGCTTTTCCTCTTAAAGTGTCACTTCCTGCCGTTTCTGTCACCCCCAAGTAGGCTTTTAGCCCCCACCCCCAACCTATTGCCCAGACAGCTTCTCCTCTGGGGGTTCGTTTCGCACCACAGAACCCCGCTTTAGGAACCGGGGGAAGGGAAAGGTGCCACACAGCGTGCGCTCCCCACACGCGCTACTCACGCCATGGTTGCAGATGCCGGGGATGTGCCGAGGCCGCCGCCGCTGCTGCTGCGCCCGCTGCACTGGCCGATGCCGCCGCTGGCCCTGCCGCCCTTAGAGAGCCATGGCGGCTGGGGTGGGGGAAGTGTTCCGGTCAGCGCCGCGCGAAGACGTGCTGCGCACGGCCACTACCACAACCTGTCAGCTCAGCTAAAGGCACACAATGAGGTGGCACAGCGCGCGCTCCGCCCTTATACGTGACCGCGCTAAGCAGAACGAGATCCGGCCTGATGTGTCCTTCCGCTCTTCGTCACCTGCCTCTCGTCAGCGCCCTTCGGTCTGTAACTTCTGGCCTGGGCTTCTCTCATTCCAACCTGGTTCGGATTAACCATAAAAGCTGACAACAATAACTCGCCCCCCCCCCCCCGTCGTGAGCTGTTGGACAGAGGGACTATATGGTGTTCCTCCGCGCGGACACCTCCCAGCCGAGAAGCGCGGTCACGTGATGAAGCAGCTGAGGACGCTCCTCCCGCCCGCCGGCGAGCGCTGGAGGATTTGGGGGGGGCTCCTGCTCCTGCCCGCCAACAAAGCCAGGGCGCTCCGGCGCTGATTGGCTGGCGGCGTGGTATTCATGTGCACTCTGAGCCGCCATTGGCTGAGGCTAGAAAGAGGCCAGATGGTGAGGCGAGATGCACGGAGGACAAGGAGAGGTAAAATGGCGGCTGGAGTGGAAGGGTTGTGTTTGGTGCCTCGTGTTTCTGTGGCCTGACCTCCCTCAAGCACCGCGTCTGCTTTGTTCCTAGCAGCTTCTTACGTCCTCCACACGAAGTCCTGTCCCCCCTCCAAGCACTGTTCTTTCTGCACTCTTAACAGCCCCGCTGGACGAAGCCCAGCAGAATTGAGGGCAGAAGTTTGCTGAGGAGAGTCACTGTTCCCTCAGATAAGTGGGAGCCTCCCTGCCTGCTACCTGCTCCTCAGAGATAGGACTGTGTGGGGCATTGGCTGAGTTTTTGTGTCCCTGACACTCTGCCGGCCTTGTAACTATGGCGTAACATTAGCCTTTGGTGGTTTGTGAGGAGACCCAAGGGCAGCCATTACTCAGATGGAGGAGAGCATTAGTGGGTCATCTACACAGTCTCACAGCCTTAGCAAGCAGCCTCACCTTGGGAAGATTTTCAAGCAGTTTGCATTATGTTTTATCTGAGCTAAATCAAACAAGTGAAAAGGCAGCCCTGCAACCTCACCTGTAGCCCAGCCTGTACGTTTCTAGAAGCTCCTCGGGCCCTCAGCTGGTTTTGCTAACCCTGTATGAAACCCATGGGGAACAGATGGTTTCAGTCCCCTCATGATTCTCTGAGGACACTAAAGCACCATATACAGCTCAGAGTGAGCTAGAAAGGTTGCTACCCATGTACTCTCTCACTACCTAGCCTTTGGTTGCTTTCCCACATTGCCAGCCCTACAGCACACCATCAGCTCTGAAGGTAAATCATAGAATGGCTTAGGTTGGAAGGGACCTTAAAGATCATCAAGCTCCAACCCCCCTCCATGGATCCTTGCTTGCTCAAAACATTATCACCCTGTCGGGCAAACTGCTCTTGGCTCCACTGCAAAAGACTCCTTTGTTTTCCAGTTAGGGTTTGGTAGTATTTGTGTACAGCCATGGCCTTGGCTCAGTTTACACAGGTATAACTGCCTGGCATTCATTAAACAACTCGACTGATAATTCTGGAGGACGGGCATGGCCAGGGAGGGCAGTCATGGCCAGGTTTCTACTTTTAGCAGCAGGATGTCACCATCACCGATACAAATCAGGGCATGTCAGTCCAGCTCTGTAAACTGAACACTGGCTGCTGAGAGAAAAAATGCAATTTTTCCTCTTCACTGTGGTGTTTTTCGTTTGTGTGTGTGTTTATTTTGTTTTTGCTTTTCTTGAATAAAGCATCGATTTTGAATGGCTCACTAAGATGGAAGAGACAGCAGAAAAAAATGCCCTCCAGTGCCAGAAAGCACGCTAGCAACTGAGTGATCTCAGATGACTGCTCTGATACATGCACCAATGAGCAGGCAGATCTTGCTACAAAGCAAAATTCAGAGGATGGATGCAGCAGCTTACAAAGAAGCTCGGTGGGTGATTGGCTGTGGTGGATGAAAAGCAGCATCTCTGTGTTTGGCTGGCTGAAGGAGGGCTCTCACATCCCTGACACCCAAGTGCAAAGAAAAAGGTGATTGTACCACTGTAATTGTTGTAAAATAAACAGAAATGCTGTACCCACCCAATCTTTCCTCTTGAAATGGTAATTATAGATTTCTGCAGAAAGGACTCTGGGTATGTGTGAGCAAGAATCGTGCAAGCAAAAATGATGTATGTAATAAGGAACTTAACCCAGATCTGCCTGTTTTCTAGCTGCCTGCTTCCCTTTTTATTTTGCAAATGTGGAAATTTGTCTGCGATTTGAGCACCAGACAGGTTTTGTTGTGGTTTTTTTTTTTCATCATCCTCAATTCAGGAAGTGAAATCAGGTAACAAAAAGCCAGCCATTTAGTAATAATTAGTGTTATTTCTCCCCTTTTCCTGAAAGAGACTGCAGAATTATCGTTGTTACATAATTTAATGAGACACATCTCTAATTCCATTACGAAACACGTCTCTGCTTTTGCAGATATTACATCAGAGGTTTCTCCTTTGAGGTCTGAGTTTTGTGACTGAGCTAGAAGATAATTCTTCAAGCCTAAATAACAATTCCTTAGGATTTTTTGTGCAAATAAAACAGCAAATGTTTTCTAAGCAGAGAACTACTAGCTAGCCACTAACTCAAACGTTCCTTTTTCAATACCACAGAATATATTTGTGGCTTAGATGTGTGGAGAGAAGCCTGATAGCTCTGAAGAAAATTGAATTTGCAGCACAAAAAGATGGCTTCTGAGTGAAGATTAGTGTGTGTGCACGGTCAATAAACTCCTGATGACATGTTAACAGCTTTAGCTATGCTGATGTTATTTTTCTGCCTTAGGCATGGTATCTCAGCAGAGAGCTCCTGCGATAAGTCGGATCCATTCCTATCCAGAAGCTAGGGGCCAGCTGCAGGCAAGAGGAGATGCTCATGCAGAGCTCACAGCAGGATAGAGGCCAAAATGACCTTGCTGGGGAGTGACGAAATTCTCAGATGTATACAGCACTGCAGAAAGCACCAGGAGGTAAACTGATTCTCCTCCATTCACCCTTCTTCTTCATTAAGATGGAAAGTCAATATATGAACTTGCTTTTTTTTCTGTCTGTCTGTCCTTCTGTCTGTCTGTCTGTCTGTCTTTCATCTTAACGTTGCGAAGGAAAAGAGTTTTTCTTTTATCAATAAATATACGGGAGATAAACATGCTGTATGCTGTGTTATTAAATACACAAAGGGAAGACGTAAATGTTTCCATAGTAACATCTCTTTGCACAGTCTGGCTGGCCTGTATATGATGCTCAGGGACTGTCAAGGGGGGGAGGCACTTGTGGTGTTGCATAGCGGGGAGTGAGGAGGGGGATGTGAGGGATATGCATTACCAGGGCCAGGAAGATAACCACCAACAGTAATGCAGATTGAGATGCTGGCCCCTTCCTGGAATGCTGGGGCAGCCAGGAGGGTTTGCAGGCCCCATGGTGGCTCTGTCGGAGTGCTTTGGGCTCCTGCAGGGTCTCACACCCCAGGGGGGGGTCCTTGTGATAATTTCTGTCCTTTGAAGCTGCCATTCATAGGCAGGGCAACAGGAAACAAACCCCAGGCATTCAGCCTAACTCTGCACTTCAGTGAGCAAAGAATTTCCAGACACCAGGAGGAAATTTTCCGGCAGAGATTGTTGAGGGAAACACGAAGATGGATTGAGGCAAAGTGCTTATAAAGTCTGAGCAATTTTGAGGGAGAATTACCTACAGTCTCTGCAGCTCAGGGTAATTTGCAGTGCTTGGTTGCTTCTCCCCTCATGCGGCACAAACGGATAACCGGAGAATTGGTTCTGCCAGATCCCTGTTGTAAGCTCTTTAAGGATTGCTTTATAGACCTTCCATTTTAAAACCGGGTGGAGAGATGAATATGTGTGATTGAAGATCGAGCTGGGAGGTATTAGTGTCCATTTTTTATTATGTACAAACAAGAAATAAGTTAGCCATATGCTGTGCCTCGTTTGTTTTGGACTGGTGCACCAAATAGAATCTCTAATAAATCATTCATTGCTTACCCACCCCCTCAGTTTCTTATGTTTCCATCCTGATATGTAAATATCACTGACATTTGAAAGGAGACTAATAAAAAAAAAAAAGGATTAAATCTGCAATTTACATTTGCAACTTGCAGTTCAATAATTTCAGACAGATATGGAAACACTCCTGGTTGTCCACCTACATTTTTCTTGCTGAGCAAAAGCAGGCATGCCAAGCACATGCTGATAGCTCACAAAATACATCTCTCCAGAGGCTCAGTTACTCAGAGCTGGACAGGCTGTGGCCAGCTGCCATGAGGAAAAACATTGTGCAAATCCAGTCAGAGGGAGGTGAGATTTAACTTGTAACTTGCCCAAGCATGAATTTCCTGAGCAAAGCTACAATGGGTTGAAAATGATGTTTAGCAAAAAATATGTGTGAAGGGGGAGGGAGCTGACTTTTGTTTGGAGCATCCGGGGATTTGGGGGTTTTCTCATCTTCCAGCCGTATTTTATTATGATGAAAGGACTTGAGGGTCGAGTATAATCCCTTGTGTGTATTAGCACACATGGGAACAGTTTAGCACACAAACGAAAGCCTTCCAGTTATACAAACAATAAAAGAACAGAACTGTATCTCATCGGAAACTGCTGTTATTCACCAGGACTCAATTATGCAGACGCAGTGCAGATGTGTGTGCACTCAGTGCCCACCGAAGTGAAGGTGCATCAGTAGCAACATCAGCTGGAGACACACATGCGCCAGGTGCCTTGTGCCTTCCTGTGAAACAGGATGAGAAGGAGAGTGGCAATGCAAATTCCTTTTTCTGTTTTTTTTTTAACTTTCCAGGAGTTGAGCTCACTGATCCTTGTGAGTCTCTTCCAACTTGGGATGTTCTGTGATTCTACAATTCTTCATGTCACTTCAGAGCGTACTGAAAAGCAAAGAAGAAAAACTGCAAACATGTGTACTCTGTTAATGAAATCAAGCAAGATCCTGAGGATATCTTGTATGCATTGAGATCACTTGGTCTTTGCTGCTGGCAGGCAGATTCAGCAGGAACACAGGCATACCAGGCAGCTCAGGTGGAGCTCTTCAACTCACCTGGGGATAAATCAGAGTTGAGGCTGTAGCTCCCTGGATTCAGAGGGAACACTGCAGCCATTATTTTGTAACCCTTCTCCGCTCTGTAAGCAAAAGCTGTTGGCAGCTGGAATTTACCAGCAGACTTTAATCTGTTTCAATATATGTGTTTGTTTATGGTGGAGGAAGGGGAAATTCTGGCAAATGTTGATGTGTTCAGAATACCAAGTTGATAACCTTTGCCTTTGTGACTCATTTTCCTTCCTAAGGTCTCTGCGCTGGGATATTTGGCAAAGATTCTTCCAGAAGTCTGCCCTGCTCCCTCCATTTCCACCTAAGCTAGTGGCTGGCACGGGCAGCCTTGGCACAGATTCCTCAGGTGTGTTAAGGGGCAATTGACTATGGACAAGCTGGAGAATAGTCCCCCTAAATACTTTGTGGCCAAAGCATTGTCTTGATGTGTTGTGGTTCCTCAGCCTACTGCCCCTCTTACTCATGCCACTGTGGTGCTTGGTGAGGGAGCTTTGCAATGCTGCCAGCAGGAAAATGTTTCTGAGCTTGACTTTTGTGAGAGTTCTGTCTGAGGAATCAGCAGCGGCAACCCACCTCTGCTCTTTCAGCATTCAGAGGGTGAGAACTTTCCTGGGATTGTGACAAAGGTGGACGTCTCCTCTGGGTCTGAGGCAATGTAGGCACTGTTCAGGAAAGTAACATCTGAATGTCTTGGTCGGGAATTCTCAGTGACGCTGATCTGCAAGCTCAATACTCACCAGAAAAGCGAGTCTCCCTGAGGCAGTGCAGACTCCATCTGACCATAAAAGGGCTGAGTTTGTCTGAAGCCACATGGGTTTGGGAGGACATCGTGCCCACAACACCATACATCTTCCTTTGCAGTGCATAGTGATGAAGATGGATCATTCTTCTTACTTTCTCTTTTATGCAAGAAAGCAATTAGTTTTTTGGGTTTTTTTTTTTTCTTTTTTTTAAGAGGGTTCTTAGTACACATCACTAGTTCGTCGTTCAATAAAAGGCACTGTCCTAGGTGCTTCCTGCTGTCCCTTTGTGGTGATTTAGGAATTAAGGGAAGATTTGTGCCTTGGTCACGCGCTTGCCTCAGCAAAACCCAACCTCCACTTGAATGTCAGGAAGCTGGGAGCCCAGCCAACACTCTCTGACAAGCAACGTGGGAGTCCAGTTCTGTGAGATTACTGCATCTTCTCTTATCTTTGCTTCTGCATATCTCAGGCCCTCTGACAGCATATCACCACTGCTATAAACAACCAGGAGCCTGAACATAATTCAGCTGATATTATCTAGGTAGCTGCTGGTAGTTATGTCCAAGGCCATAACTAACCACCACGCTAAATAAATTCAAGAATTTGAAGACAAAAATGTCTCTTTGCCATATTCCTTCCAGGAATGATTGCTTCTTGCCTTTCGAAGGTGGTGAGGAGCCTGCCTACAGTGCATTGTGAATTTTGACAAAATGTCTGGCATGGGACCAGGTAAAGAGCCAATTTGCTCTTTTCCTCAGAGCTCCATCATTTGCCATCTGTGCCCTTGTGTCTGTTGCCTACAACACTCGTGTCCTTCGCACTGCTGAGTAGAATGAGACAAGAAAGCCTTAGAGGACTGGGATCATTGCAGTGGGATGTCTAACAGGATAGTATGTCACTGCTGCCTTTGCATTCTGTGGAATGGCAATGATTCTACCATGAGAGACACGGGTAGGGGTGGGCTTAAAATCTTAAAAAAAAAAAACAAACCAGAAAACTCATGGAAGCAACTTTTGCTCGTTATTTAGATGAAGAAGCCTTTTCATGAGGAATGTGGATAGAATTTATATACATACATATATATATATATATATAATTTCCCCTGAGAAGTTTAGCACTGAGTTTGAAAAGACAGATCAAATTTCTACTTAGCTACTGGAGCCAGGGAAACTGAACCAGCAAAATAAAAAGTCATTTGCCTTTTAGTGTGCTTAAAGTGATTGTGTTCACAACTCATTACTGAATGAGTACATTGGAAAGCTTAAGATGGAGAAAAGTTTGAGTTCCATATGCCAGACTCCTCTCTCCTGCTATCCATAAAATGACAAGAATACTTTCTATAAATGGCATGACTTCAAGATCTCTGCTTTACCCTTTGGTCTGACCAGTCTCTTCAGTCTCACCATTTGCAAGGTTATTGCACAGGATCATATCCTATAAAGATATTGTTAGCCTGCTCACCACCCCATTTCTGGATCAGTGACTTGTGACTAACACTGTCCTTCTCAGAGTATGCTAATAAAACTGCTACACCATGCTATCAATTGTGTAGAGAACATATTTGTTGCACAACAACTATTTTAAGGTTTTGTATCTTTTGAATTTTTAAATGTAAGCTTGGCTACATTCATTTCCAGGCCAGGACTGTGCTTATTTAACAAGGTATGCTCTCATAAGCTGCTTGTTCATTAGGCTAAGAACAAAAGAGAACCAGAGCATTTGCAGAAAGCCATTTGTGCTGTTCTTTGCAGCAACCTTTTGCATACATGAAATAATTACCATGACTCCACTCAATTATTTCTGCTCTCCATTAAACAAACCCTATCTTTTGATCTCACTGTGCATGCTGGGACAACTTTTATGCAAAAGTGCAAACTACTACATACATTAAATATGGATTGCAAGCCCTAAGCTTTCCAAGGGCATTAATGCGAGGGGTGTCATAGCTGGCACAGCTTCCACAGAGCAGCTTCTATTAGCTGTTCCCATAAGAGACCATATGATGTGAAATATGCTTGATCTCACCTGATCTGTTTCTATCATGGAACAGATTAAAGGAAAAAAAAAAAAAAGAATAGACAAGGGGTATCAGGAAGAATAATGCTAGAGATGGAGACTCCCTTTCTAATACAACATATCCTCCATGCTAGTTAAATGGTAATTGCTTAGCCCTCATTAAAACAATTCTCACAGGATGTCTTTACCCTAGCGTGTCTTTCGAGAATTAAGGAGCAGGGATTCATCAGAAGTGGCATCACTTCATGTTTCTCTTTATGTCAAACACTTCCCCCACCTCCCAGAGCAGACACATAAAACTGGGGCTCGCTGCGTACCAGAGCTATAGCAGATTCCTCACTGCCCCAAGGCTGATGCTTGGATAAGAGAGGAGCACACTTGGGCATGTAGAAACAAAGGTGTCACTGAGCCAAGGGCAGGGAAAGGCTGTGCAGGAAAGTCAATATTAAAAGATGCACAGAAGCCTGTGAAGTCTGGAGAATCACATGAAGCGTGGGTGCCTGCCCAGGCGTGTGAGCTGTCAGAGAAAGGAGGAAAGGCAGAGAGCCATCATTATCTTGTGACTGGTGCAAGCACTGACAGGAGCAAACACGCTGCAGCGCCAACCCACTTGTTTTGAAGGCAGTCACAGAGCGCCCCAAGCTGTAAAGGGAAAGCAGTGAATCAGCAAGGGCCACGACAGTCCACTGAGAACGGCGTGGTGCAGAAAGCTGACAGCAGAAAGGTGACGCCCCTCCCTGGCACAGAGGCAGAGAGACACTCCTTTGTTTATAAACACATCGGAGACAATCAGGTTACTGTGGAAAGTCATTTTATTTCAGAATTTCACACACTCTGCCACATGCACTTGAGACTTTCTCCCTTACAAGTCCACAGCCTCCAGACCTAGGAGCAACGGGGCATCATCTCTTTACTGCACACTGCAAGTACCCACACACAGAGTGCAGGTTGAGAGGCAGCAAGCAGCCTCTTGGTTCAGTAATTGCTTCTGAACACTTTAAAATAAATTCATCCAAGCCGAAAGGTTAGTGGTAAAGCTCAGCAGCAGTGAAAAGCCACTGCTGAGCGAGTTGGTCCTTGCCCCGCACGTACAGGGAACCAGATGACAATCTCGTGAGAAGCTTGTGGAAGCTAAGCTACAGCTGAACACACCAAGGCATTCCAGCAGCCCAGACAGCAAGCAGGCAATGCATGCTCTGAGCCCTTTACAATCAATTTGTTTCTGAGCTGCTCTGCCAGGAAGGTGGCCAAGAGCTGCCCTTTTCACATTCGTCTTTCCTGCTCTGTGCTACAGCTCCGATGAGAAAGGAGCCAACCTGTGATTCAGCCCTCCTGGCTGTATATAAACATATGCACCCAATGTAACACTGAAAGGTGCTGATTCAAAAGACTTTGCAACAACCCATTTGTCCACAAGCTTCATACAACTTTACTGTAAATTTCCTGCATAGTTGCTCTGCTCCTTCTTCCCTGCCTTTATCACCCCTTCCACTCGACCCTGCTCCTGAAACACTCCTCATTGCAAGTGTCCCTCTGACCCATTACATCTTTGGCCTTTGCTGAGACTGCCACTGCCAGGGCAGCTGCTGCCCATGGTGGTAGTTGTCCGTAGGAGGGGAGCTTCTGCCTCCCAGGAACAGGCTTGTGGCTAGCTCAGAACAGGGTAAAACTGAAGGGAAGAAACGACAGACGTGATTCAAGTGAAGTGGAGAAAAGTCTACAGAAAAAGCAAAAAGGCAGCTTCAGTCTCCATTTGATACACAAATTGAGCTCAATAGCAGCAAGAAATGGCCATAAAATATTAATTCATTAGGTTGCCAGGAAGAAGTAAAAGCACTCATGTGAAAAATTCCATATACAGATATGTAAGTGGCAACTGTTCTTAAGCAGCTCAGACAGTGGCTTCCTCCTGCTTACGTCTCACCTTCGCAATTATAGTCTCTATCATTCCAAACCATGCTGCTGCTCAGTTCCACATGAAGACCATGGCATTGGATTCAGCACCAAGTGATGGTGAGATCACACTGAATAAATGAACAGAAGGGGAACGCCTGACAACCCCGATACGTTAATATTTTTCTTGACCTTCAAGTAATGAGAAGAAAGGGGAATTTCCCCAGACAGCCTGTGGGCTCCAAGTCTTATCCATCTGCTTTTAGGGAAGGAAGGCTGACAGAAAAGCAGTGGAGGGCAGGGAAA